GGCCCCTATGTTAGCGAGCTGGATCGCAGGGGGTTGCTCCCTAAGAGCTCCGAGCTTTGGTTTCGGCTGAGCACCTTCATGTGCTAGTTGCTTAGTTGCCTGTGCATCCGCAGCTCAATGCATGTATGTCTGTATGCTTGTATGTCTGTCTGTATGTATGTATGTATGTATGTATGTATGCACACATACACAACATACTCAATAAACAAATGATTGACTGGATCTAGGTGCTTGTATCTGTCTACGGCGAAGCTGTTTACATAGCTTGCTCCAGATGTGCTGCGAGAGACCTATCATTTCACACAGGATGTTGTGGCCAGCACAACAACCGCCAATTCGGAAGCCTAAGCCCGAAATCCTAGACCTTAAACCCGAAGCCTTACTCATTTACGATATAGGTGCCTTGAACCTTAAACCATATTGATGCCTGATGTAGATGCTAAGAGCCCTCAACCATAAAGCTTTTCCAGCCTCGTCAGTCACCACAGCGGGCGCATGTGATTGAACCTGAACTCCGAAAGTCCGGACTCCAACAGAGGAAGTGGCTCAATTCTGCTGCATGTTGTGTATATGATAGTAGGGTCTATTAAAATATGATCAAACATGTGTATCTTGTGATTCTTCTTGCAACTTAAGCCCGATAAACCCTAAGCCTTAAACTCTGAACCCTAGCTCGGCTGTTGACGATGGCACACCATATCTGAAGACTTTGGGATCTGAAGTTATGTTAGGCCCACCAAAGCGTCATGTTCTGTCCGTTTCCCCAAACATTAAGCTCAGTCTCCAGAATCGAAACCTCTTGACGAAGTTGAAACCAAACACAAGTTCGTGCATTTTCTCCTTTCGAGTCCATTTCGGGGCCTGGGCCTAATCCTGAATGCTTATCCGAGCAGCTACGGGCTCCGCTGGTGACACCGGTGCCGGCGGTACCGCTGCCGCTGGCGGCGCCGGTGCAGGTGTTGGGGGCGGAGGCGGTGCAGGCCTTAATCGATGGCTTGCGTTTCAAAGCTTCGGGATGCTTGCGGCTCTAAGGTTTGGCGATGGAACTGCTCGAAGGAGATTGCACGTGACATTGCAAAAGGACCGCCGCCCCAGCAAAAAACATTGGTTTGTTCATCTGGCTTCGAGAGCTTCAGAACCGCTCCAATCGTCAGGGCTGCAACCAGCTCCAACCCCAAACTCCTAGGCGGGCCCAGCTGCTGTCCGCTGCTGCTCTGCAGCCAAGTGTTCCAAACACCTCCTGGAACACATTCCTCAGCTGTGCAGTTGGTGATTTTCAACCGCGAACGGATGAATGGATTTAGGTGTGTGTGTGTGTGTGCATGTGTATGTATATACATATTGTGTATGTATGTATGTATGTATGTATGTATGTATGTATGTATGTATATATATATATATACACACATACACATACATGTATATGCGCAGAATTACACATATATTCATATTGCTCATACGTCAATTATAGGTAAATGTTATGTGTATATATATATATATACGTGTGTTATGTGTACATATATATATATATGAATACACAGGTTCATGTGTGTATATATATATACACATTCAGATGCCCATGTATGCACCTATGCGTTTTAAGTTTTCACCTGGTATATTTACGCATATGCTTTGCTGATTCAGATATCCCCGTGCGGGCTGCAACCAACGGAAACCACCGCCTTCCGTCACAAGGCTTGCATGAAATGACGCCATCAATTGTTCCTTTTTTCGGAGCTCCCTTCCTAAACCCTGAACCCTGAACCCTAAACCTTCAGCCTAAACCAAAAACTGCAGGGCTTCGGGTGTAGAGCGCTTACAGTAAGATCCGTGATTCTTGAGCAGGCCCGATAGGGTCGCGGCACGTCTCAGATGGGAAGATAGTGGTCGACATCTAAGGAGCTCTTGGCTCTGTGTACACACAAACGTGTATGTTCATGTAGGTAGGTATGTATGTATGCACGTATGTATGTATGCATGCGTATGCATGTATGTGTATGTGTATGGATATATGTATGTATGTATGTATGTATGTATGTATGTATGTATGTATGTATGCATGTCTTTATATAACAATATACTATATCGTACATAGTATAGACCATATATTATGTAGTATATTAAATGTAACAATTCGTGTGTGCGTGTGTGCGTTCATATAACCGAAATTGGGCGTGTACGTGCACATGTTTGCATACACCAACCACACATGCACATATGCAACCACGCATGAATGTGCCTGTGTCGACTCAACAGCATGCGTGGACCCGTGGCTCCCTGTACACAACTTACACAACAGCTCTGGATAGGCACATGCGAACTTACAGCTATCCGTCCACGCAGCTACCTACGCTGCACCTAACTTTAACATGGCTCAACCCTTCAGTGCCTTCTCCACCATCTTTGAGAGGACGTAGCAGGGCCCCCGTTCGGGCGCTGACAAAAAAACCTGGGCTTGTGATGAGATGCTTGGGCTTGAAGTACAGCTCGGCTCGGGGTTTACATCTTCTTTCCTGGATAGGGAGCTTTACATTCGGGAATGTCTCTACGACAAGGAAGGAGAAATTGCACAGGGACATGACCCTGCGCATGGAATAGAAGGCCTTGACGAATCCAAAGCCAGATGGCCTTCCGAACAGCTCAGGCAATCGGCTCTAACCCTCAACCCATTTCCTAAACCCTAAGCCCTGTCATGCCCGTTAAGATTCAAGCACAGTGAACAGCTTAGCAAATGAGGATGCATAACCGGGACATGAAGTCTCGTGCACAGTCCAAACCGTGAGTTAAAAAAGTCCCAGGCTTTCCCATAGCACGTTCCCAAAAACCGCCCCCACGCAAACACCATGTTATATGGTAGCGTTCAGAATACGGTGTGGTTCCAGAATCCCTCAGTTTATTCAGGATCTCGTAACAAAAAATCCCCAGACCCTGAACTCAGAGCCCCTCTTTTACTAGAAAGTTCAGGGTCCAGTGGCAACTGCAGAGCAGCTGGAACTTGACGTGCACCTGTTGATTGGTTATCGACCATGCTTAGTGTTGCGGTTTTGGGATGTTTGGGGATAAGTAGAGAGGGCTTTTGTGTATAAAACCCTTTTTGGGATGTTTGGGGGTAGGTACTGTAGAGAAGGTTTTTATCCCTTTTTGGGATGTTTGGGGATAGGTACTGTAGAGAGGGTTTTTATATAAAAACCCTTTTTGGGATGTTTGGGGATAAATAGAGAAGGTTTTTATATAAAAACCCTTGTTGGGATGTTTGGGGATAAGTAGGGAGGGCTTTTATATAAAAACCCCTTTTGGGATGTTTGGGGATAAGTAGAGAAGGCTTTTATTTCAAAACCCTTTTTTGAGATGTTTGGGGATAAGTAGAGAGGGTTTTTAAATAAAACCCTTTTTGGGGTTGTTTGGGGATAAGTAGAGAGGGTTTTTATATATAAAAACCCTTTTTGGGGATGTTTGGGGATAAGTAGGTGTTAGCGTACAATGACTTTCTGAGTCGTACGATCTACGGCTAGGGCAGTCAGGCCGTCGTGCTTGCTTACGGCTGGCGCTTCGGCTTCAGTGCTTCAAGGCCTGCTTACCTGCGAAGCTGTAGATGAAGACACTTGGCACTAACAGTCGCTCCCAACAAGCGGGCGAAACAAAAGACAACGAACTGCAGATAGCAAAGCTAAGGGCACAAACATATGGGCACAAACAGCACCAGATATATGTTCAGGCTGACGCTAATGTCTACATCGTGGATATGATGGTGTTGGTGTACATTCGGTGATGCCTGAGATGACACAGGTTGCAGCAGTGACACCAGCGAAGGGAACAAGGGTGACCATCGTGATGGCGGTGGTGAAGATGCTTACTATGATCATGACGGCTGTGACCAGTAGCGATGCCGGTGTTGCTGATAATGAGTGTGACGACGAAGACAATGACGATTTGGGTGGGACTGTTGATGCTTGTGCTAATAAGATGATTGCAACCATCCTTGGCCTGACCCTTGACACATAGTGGAGTCATGGAGCCTGCGCGGACTCGGGGCATTCTTGCAGCCACCTCTCGCCCTTGAACTGTACACTAGAAACTGAGACGTCGTCCGCCCTTCAACACCCGAATGCGAAGCATTCAGCCATGGCACGTCTGCATGCACTCAGCTAAATTCATGACGCCTTGGCTGCACAGGATTTGGGATTCTGCTGTGTGACTGTTGCAATTAGAATTCAGTGTTGGGCCGGGCTGACAAGGCGTAACTCCCAAACCCGAAACCTTAAAGACCTAAGCCACTTGTTTCCTGTAAACCCTGGACAGCGTCAAAGGCTTCACTACGACTCTCCTCCCAAGGGAGGATGTGAATGCCAAGTCCGGTGAAAAGGGAGTGATCTTGTTGGCTTGCTGTTTGAAGACATGGGGCGCACGAAGACCTACGCTACGTTCGCTACTTTGCGCACGACAGAATTGTTACTAACTGCCACTTCTTGTTATTTTTATTACTATGATTAGGATTAAAATTATGATTGTGATTAATATTGCTATCATTGCCCTAACCCCCAGGTACCTACTATATCGGGTACTAGAGCCCCTAGGGCCCTACATAGTAGGTACCTGGGGGGTTAGGGTTGCTAATTACTGTTCTACAGGACTGTCTGACACGTACGGGCCTAGGAGTTCCGACTTCTAGATCTCCAGGCTGTGGGCCTAAGCCACGGATGTCCCAAGAAAGTGATACTACGGTAAGACAAAAACCCGCAAGAGTAGGTAAAAATGATGACCCAAAACCTATCAAGGGCTATTGTTCTACATACTTTTGGGGTTCAGGAAGATATAGAGCGTACTGGTAATGTTGATAATGCTAGTAGCAATAAGAATAATACGTAAGCAAGAACAAAAACAACAATAATCGCAACAATAATACAAATGCGAATAATACTAGTAGTAGTACGGTAGTACTTACTTTTTTGAAAAACAAATAGCGGCAATACCCAACAGTCATACCCGTCTTCGCAGTACTGCTAGCATATCATTATGATCCTTATTCTCTGAATTGCCGCTATCTCCTCTTGGTCCAAGAAGCCCGGCTCTGCCATGCTGGTATCTTTGACACCACCATGGCCCTCATAGCAGTTGAGACCCACTTTCTGCACCCAGCCTGTCCAAGCTTCGCAGGGGGTGGGGACGACAGGATCGGAGGTTCAGGGCTTTGGGTGATTTCGAGATTAGGGCTTTGGGGGGCTTTAGGGTGCAGAGAGTCGTGATTGGGGCTTTCCTGGAGTTTTTAATTATGGGGCTTCAGGGAACTGCATGGTGCGTGATTTTGCGGAAAAGGAGACTGAAAAGCTTCTTGTCCGCGTTTTCTTTCGGAATCCTCAAGTCCTCAATGCAGTCTAAAAGCCGAAAAATCTAGTGGCCTGAATAATTAGAATAGGCTTTGAGGCACCTTTTTGGTAGGATGATACTAAGGAGCCCTAAGGAATTGTGTGTTGGTAATGATTTGTCTATGTTACTCTGTCTTCCAACTTAAGACTGCATCCTATATGGTAACGAGGCTTCCTCACCTTGTCAAAAGAAAGCAGCTTCTGAGGCGCTTGCCTAGTGGCATTAGTGGCTCGAAGCCCTCTAAGCTTCCTTACGCGAGACTAGGGTGCCCCAGGTGTCCCCCGACCCTAGACGGCAGTGATCCTGAGAAGCAACGCCTTTTGAACTCTGGGGTTTTGGTATGTTGAGTTTCCAGTCTACCACCCTGGAAGAAGGGTTTAGGGTTTAGGGTTTTAGCTTCACATATCTTCCCAAAACACCGGGCAACAACTCACCGAACAACGCCGGGCCTGTTGACAGAGAGGTGACAGATCTAAGGCCTTGACCTGAGTGAGCTTGGGTAAAGTAATTAACGGAAATGCTCATGAGAATGGGCTTTGTGCGCACCTTCTAGTATAAGAACCAGGATACGTAAGTTTTAAGACTTTTCTAAGAAATACTATAGTAACTCGGAATTGAGTGGACGGAGCAGTTCATGTAACTTGGGTAAGTCATGCAAACCGCGTCGCGGGACCGGTTTGTAAGTCTCGGGGTTTAGCGGTTAGAGGCTCAGGCTCTGGTATGTGGGGGCTTCCGAAAACAGGGGACCCTAATATAGCACCCTAAATAGTAGGATCCTTATTATAAGGACCCCTAAATAAGGTACCCCCTATTTTCGGAAACTCCCAATGTTGGGATCTCTTGGGACATGTGGCCTGGTGGGAAAGGTGTTCGGGGCCTTGCTGGGCCACCGGCGCTGCCATGATGTGTATCCAGCAATCTGGGAGTTTCCGAAAATAGGGGACCCTAATATAGTACCCAAAATAATAGGATCCTCAAATAAGGACCCCCAAATAAGGTACCCTAATTTTCGGAAACTCCCATCTACCTTTCTATCTACCTAGCGACAAACCGCCCTGTCCAGCCATCCATCTAGCCATCCACCGACCGACCAACCTACCCATCTATCCACCCATCAATCTGTCCAGCAACCTACTTACCTATCCATCCATCCATCCACCCGCGCAAGCTACCTGCCTGGCTACCTAGCTACCCACCAACCCACCCATCCATCAATCCATCCATCCGTCCATCCGTGCATGCATCCCTGGGCATACACACGTGCATGCATACATGCGTGCAGGCATGCATACATAAAGACATACAAAAATACACACATGCACAAAGAGACATGCGGATGCGTCCACCTACATGCATATATACATAGGTACAAACATCGCAATGCACGACACTTCTTTGCAGGATATTGCATGGCGTACTTAATCCTGGAATAACCCGAACCTTGACAGTACACTGTCGACATACCTATCTCAGCCACATTTCCGGACACTCGGCAGAATCCCAACAGAAGTTCCTTGTAGCCCAATAGAAGCAGCAACAACCCCGATGTTATCGAACCCCGTTTGAACCCGACGGGACCCTTGTACATTCTAGACACCTTATGTGACCCAACAGCCCTCTTAGAATCCCTAAACAAGCTCTTTGCCATCATTAATGTTATTGTCATGATTGTGATTATTATGATGATGGTTCTTATGATTTTTAGACAATTATTTTTACACTGATGAGTCGGCTGACTGGTCTCCAAGGGCTTGCTCACCCCCGCGAGGCAAAGCATTATCACGGCCACAGCAGAAACGAGGGGGACAAGCACCTGTTTGCAACGCTCAGATGGGCTTCCGAGCGGGGAAAAATCTTCGGGCCCTCTGCTCCATGGATGTTGACACAGGTTGAATCATGCACGTAAGCATCCTTAACTTTAGCAGAACAAAATCCCCACGAGGAATCTGCTGTGCAAGGGAAGAACCCTCCCTTACCCTTGCGGGCCTGCCCTCGCGTCCATTGCGATCGGCTTACTAGAAGGTCCTTGCAAAAAGAAGGGTTGTTGGGCCCATCCAGGTGAGGACAACCTGTTCAGGAATGAGGTCATTGGTACTTTACGTTGCATAGAAACTACACCGTGCAGACGGGCGTACGACATCAATGCGCGAAGCCAGATAGATACTACAGGGACTCAGAGATCTTCAGAGAAATGTGTATAGCTATCTCTCTCCCTACCTACCTACCTACCTACCTACCTACCTACCTACCTACCTACCTACCTACGTACCTACCTACCTACCTACCTTGTCACGCACAAAGGCAGGCACTATGCATGCATACATAAATCCATCCATGCATGCATGCATACATACAGATATACAGTACATATACATACACATACACATATACATACTCATATAAACATACATATATATATATATGTGTGTGTCTATGCATTCGCAAATAAATAAATAAATAAATAAATAAATAAATATATACATATATGTGTCGTATGTATGTATGTATGTATGTATGTATGTATGTATGTATGCATGCATGTATGCATGCATGCATGCATGTATGTATGTACGTAGGTATGTATGTATGTATGTATGTATGTATGTATGTATGTGTGTATGTATATATATATATATAATGTGTGCGCGCACACTCTTTGGCAAATCATCTAGGGATGACAATTGGTTACACTGATTCGGCGAATGGTCTAGGCTTCTGGTTTAACGCTGCGTGGTTTGGGTTCTCAGCACCCATGAACCAGAGTCAAGTCCTCCTCTCTCACGAGGAGCGGATGCACATCGTCCATGGTATCTGCTTCCTCAAGAGCAACTACCCAAACCTTTGGGGATGAATGCTGGCTGCCAGACTCCATGCGGTACACGGTCTAGGGTGCATGGCATAGTGTTGTCAATATGCGCGTGACCCTGCTACAACAAGCAGAAACCATCGCAAGGATGTGTTTTTGGCTGCATGAGCAACATAATTTTGTTCCACAGTGCGTGCTACATAGTGAGAGAAGGGCTCACAGCCCCCAAACCCGAAGTCTTGAACCCGCAAGCCAAATCCCTAAACCCTGACCTATCGAAGCCAAACCAAGTACCAGGTCGGCTTTTGAAGTTAGCTCTGCCTTCTCCAACATACTGAAGCGATTTGTTGCAGCGGAGCTTTCTTGAAATCAGGGGCTTGTTTAGGGTTTAGGGTTTCAGGGTTTAGGGTTTAGAGTTTAGGGTCCTTGCTGCAAAGATCTTACGATGGTGCTCTGCGACTCGGCTCGACTTTCGAGCTGGAAGGTCTGAACTTGACAGGTTTAAACCCTCTTCAGAGATTCTAGGGTTTAGGGTTTAGGGTTTAGGGTCAAGGCAAGACAACATGGACCGCATGCAGTTCGTGCAGTATGGAGCTTTGAAAGTCTGAACGACGATTGCAAGACCAGGTTTAACGTTCGGTGCTTCAGGTGATCAACACTTAAACCTCCGAGAATTCCCTAGTAGCTACTGTTATTGCTATTGCTATTGCTATTGCTGTTATTCTCAATTATTAAGCCCTTATAAACCCTATTGAGCTTTCCAAAGTTTGAAGCCCTCGAGCTCGGCCCTCCAAACCTTAAACCCTAAACGGCCCTAAACCCCTAATCCCCTAAACCCTAAATTCCTGAGCCCCAAACCCCGGAACCTCAACACCTGACTTCTGCTTGCCCGTTTGATTTGTGGTCCAGGCTCCTGTTGAGCCATCGATAGCTCAGGGCGGCCTACGGAATAGACTCCCTAGGGGCCGCAATGGCTGCCAGGAGTTGCGCAGGTCGGTTTATGGCTGATAAGGGCAGAAAAGGGTTTAGGAAGTTTAGGGGGCTTAGAAGGGTAGATCACTCTCCACTGCGCAAAGGAGCCTGAAGAGTAGGGAGAAAGGATGAGCCTTTGAGCTTCGAGAAGTGCATTGAGCCCTTCATCTGTGGCTCAGACGTGTCTGCCATGGACCCGGTCTGCAGCTACATCCCTTAAGTAGGGCTTTGAGTCAGGTTACTACTGTATAGCCACAATTAAGGTACATTTCATTACTTACTAAAGCACACTGGCATGTGTTTGTCATGGCGCTCGGACGCCTCGAGGCTACCATGGGCGCCTTACTCGTCAAAAAAGGGGTTTTGGGGTATCTTATACTGGAATGGTAGCACTGGCAATCTTACGTGAACACTGAAGAAGTCGGAGTGAAACTCAACTTGCCTATTGCAGGCATTGCCAGCAGTTGCAATACAGCAAGATCACTACACTTCCCAAGTGTGCTTGTGTAGAGCCCTCGACCAGCAGGGGCAAACACGAGCGTGAAATCCCACACCGTGATCCAGTAGCACATCAGCCTCCACCGATATGTTTTAGGTTTTATAGGATCCGAACGACAAGATTGTTCTCGCTTTTGCTCCCAATGCGCTCAAACCTCCCTCCGATTTCAACATCCAACACTACGTCTTCAGCTACCTGAATGGTACAATGCACCCAGCAACCCGACAAGGTAGGTGACCGGAGCTCGCTAGACCATAAACCCTAAACCCTAAACCCCAAAAGCCAGAAAGCAAATCATAGCAAAGGGCAGTGCAAGGCAGCGGGCACCCACGACCAGGTCAGCTTCCCTCCAGGAAGCTTGGGCTCGGTTTAGGGTTTAGGGTTTAGGGTTTAAGGTTTAGGGTTTAAGGTTTAGGGTTCTGTGGGAGTCATCGGCTTCTTTGAGTGTCAGTGCGGTTCCGTGGGAATGTATACAAGAAAGGCCGGACCGATACTTGCATGTCAGGAAGCTCCGGCGGCAGGTTTTACCTTATCACCAAAACGAGCTACCCTGTTAAGGGCGTATATAAGCAAATCAGAAGAAGAAACCCCCCAAAATATGGATTTCATATGGTCCAGGTAGGTTCATCTCCGCAGTAGTGAGGTCTGGCATTACCATGTTTCGTATGTTCTATTGTTGTCATCATTACATAACATGACAAATTGCGGGCTCCATATGCGAACATTGATGGAAAACCGCGCGCACTTTAACTGGAGAACGAGGGGCCCATAATGTGTTGCACTCTCCTCTATCATTGCTATTGTTATTATTGTTATCGTTATTGTTCTTGTTGTTATTGTTATTACCATTATCAATGTTGGTATCATTCTGATTGATTAGTATGAGCAATAGCAGTAACGAGCATAATACTAATAAACAATAGAAACAACACACTAAGAACAATACTACGAATCATCATTGGTAGGAGTGAGGGAACATCACTTCGGTGCTCATATATACTACACATACAGTATAATGAGATAGTGTAGTATCATCTAACTGAGTATAGTGATATAAAGTACAACATGGTGTACTACTGCAATGTTCTTTTGCAATGGGGCGGTAACGATGTTTCAATTCCTGCCCTTCTCCCAAGTTTCTGCTTTTTGGATTTAGATTGAAGGGTGTTCAAAACCCAGCCACGAAACCGAAAAGGCTCGAACATGACATCTACGCTCAGAAACATGTTATGTGCGCGGAAACTGGCAGCTTTTGCGGACCGAAGGGCGCAGGATTACAGCTAACGAGCTGGGTTTTCTATGTGTAGATCTATCTCTCTACTTACCTACCTACCTACCTACCCACCCACCCACCCACCCACCCACCCACCCACCGACCTACCTACCTACCTACCGACCCACCTACCTACCTACCTACCTACCTACATACATACATACATACATACATGTATACTCTCTATATATACATATGTATATATATATGCTTTTTCAAACTGAAACAACATGCAGTCCACCAAATGTTACAGAATCCAAACATTTCTGAATGTCCGATCCCCTGAGTGCCACCCTTGCTTTTCCAGAGCCCTCGGCTGCAACGAAAAGACCTCAAGAAGCAAAAACCTAAAACTTGAACCCAACGGTTCTGCCACTGTGGATAGAACGGGCAAGTTCTAAGACTACGAACCCTTCGTACAAACCCGTACGAGACTGAACTTAGATAGCGAACCTTGCTCTTGGGAAGCCCGTAGCACATGTAAAGACTGCTAGCTGCGATGCAACCTGTGGTTTCTTTGTATAATATCTCTCTCTATATGTATATATATATATACACATACATATATATATATATGATACTTCTGCATACGTACATATACAGACATGTACACATGCACATGTACATGTATATGTACATGTATATGTACATGTATATGTAAATGTACTGTATATGTAGATGTAGATGCAGATGTAGATGCAGATACGCATGTTTTATAGATATACGAACTCAAACTAAACACAAAACCTTATATCATCTCATTTTATACTATACCATAAGATAAAATGTTACACTACATGTTGCTACATTATACTGCATCATGCTTTATCATATCTTGTGATGCTATATCATACTACAGCTGCTGTACTAAATCATGTTTCTTTATCTTGTATGATGTTATATTGCGATATGTTTGCTGTGTCGTATTATGAGACATCAGGAAATATGATGCTACATTGTGCTACATTCTGTTATAGTATGCCATGCTATACTGTATTCTATCAAACTCTACTGTTTTATGTATATTGTGTCATACCCTGCTGTATTGCATTACATATCTCATGTATATACACCTATGTATAAACACCAAGTCTTTGGCTAGAGAAGCCGTGTAGTGGAACCACTCTAAACCCTAAACCCTA